ACCTACAAAGAGGAGCAACATTGTTTATGAATTTACATGTCCCTTAAGGAACTGCATTTCTGACCAAATTCATGAATAATTATATTGGACATACCAGTACATGATTATCAAAAACATTCACATTACATCTTTCAGACCATCGCTCAATTAGGACCCATTTATACACACATAAACCTACCAAACTCCATTTGAATATACTTATAGAAAATAAGACCATAATAGCCTCATCCACGTATAAAAAATGGCTAAAAATAATGGAAGCATAAATAATAAAAAAAGAATAGACCAACACTCAGAAATATCAACTATGAACACAGCCACAATGTATTGATCGCGATTGCAAAATAAAACTAATTCCTATCACTATAGATATACATATCTAAAAATCTACATAATCAATTAAATTTTTTTTAAAATATCCTTGATAATGACTAATAGATGAGCCGAAAGCGCTCGGATTGATAGCATATTTGGACAGTTTTACAGACTTTATGTCCATAAAAGAAAACACTTGTAGAAATGAAAGAAACATTGAATAAGAAACATAATCACAGTACCTTGTCAATCGCCGAATATTTCAAATATCCTTCGTAATCCTTTCAATAACAAATAAACAATATAGATTTCTTTTCTTTCTATGAGGAAGCCATTTTTATTTTTTTTACCCCGATCTTTAGGTAGCATCTTGTATAGAGAAAAAGTGTATATATATATGTGTGTGTGTGTGTGTACGCGCCCGCGCGTGTGTGTGTATGTATGTGTGCGTGTGTGTAAGTGTCACTTATCAGACAAAGGGCTAAAAAAAACATCTATCTACCCACAATTTACAAGAACCCTTAAGAAACATTCTGGTCGAATACACTAAAATCCTATAGAAATCACATTACTGGAAACATCACTATACGAGAGTTCTTGTATAATAAACATTTCTCTCCTACTATCAGCCATACCTGTTAAATGTAACAGTGCGAATGGAGTGTTGAAATTGTTTTTTTTGTTTTTTTTTAAATAGAAAGACGCTCACTTGAATTCCAGCTGCGCTCAACACGCGAAGACCCGGATATAAACGGTCCTACTAGTATTCAAAAGAACACCAAAATAAAATACATCTTAAAAATATTAAACAGTCAAAACACTAAGAAAATTTAACACCTATAAATCCAACTGTTATTTAATATATTTTCTGTTTATACGTTATTTTAATAGATGCAATTAATTAAAATAAATGCTCTATTTTTAATTAAACAGTATTAATTGCATTTACTGGTCTGAATGTTCGAGAAATTTCGTAGAAAATATGTGTTCTACAGGAATTGAACCTGTATTCTTATACGGAAAGCGTCATTTGATCTAAGGTGTTACCATTCAGCAACAGAGAAGCGTCTTGTTAGCAAAGTTCAAATATTTGTTTATTATCTTCGACGATTTTTCTCGGTCGACCACTTCTGCTCAGGAAATTTCACGAATATTCAGGCCGGTAAAAAAATTAATATTCTTTAATTAAAAACAGAACTTTTACTTTAATCAACTGTATCTGTAAAAATAACAGGAATAGGAAGCTCATCTGGGATGAATGAAATGATTTTGAACGGAGGCAAATGGAGAATGTTGGATTCAAGCTGTTTCATGCAATCGGCGGTCCGACGATTGCGTCTAGCATAAAACAGTCCGTCGCCTCTGAGTGTTGACTTCAATGTTCACTTTTATATATATACAAGTATAGGATTGGCGTATACGGAATAAATTCCAATAACCAAAAAATACTATTCTTAAAAGAGTGCTCAATACAGAGTGGAGCAAATATAATTTATTCGAAAATTATAACATAGCTATGTTATAAAATCATTACAAAAATAGCCATTTTGTTTCAACTTCTGGTGTCTTATCAAGTATATATAAGTTTCATTGAAGACGGTTGACAAGGCACTGCGTTTTATTATTATTATTATTATTATTATTATTATTATATATATATATATATATATAATGTGCTGACTAAACACACTCAGCATATTGTAGCCGTGAATATTGTTTCGACTATACTTTTAGCCATTATCAAAGATGACTTTACTTTTAACTAAATGTACGGATTGTATAATGGTAGATACATCAGTCAGTAAGTTATGTGCCATGCATGATACACAAGCGATCATGTATCTTTCGATACATGACTGAGGAGGCAGATTTCTTCCCGCAGTAGGCTGCCATTTCTTTCTGCGGTAGACCAGATGCCATCCAAGGCTAAAGAATCCGGTCTGTCCCGCGAGAATACCTTTCCCAATGGTATTAGGATGTGAATAAGTGAATGCAATTGATTCGAACTCGGCTCTCCGATTCCTCAATCCGACTCGCTATCCATTACTCCAACGTGCCTCCTCGATACATACATAATACAATATGATGAAAATATAGTTTTAATGTATGCTATAATTATGAGTTAAAGTGCTCCATGTGAGGGATAGGGTGTAAAAGTGGACATTAAAGCCACCACCCAGCAGTGACAGTCTGTTTCATGCCTAAACATGTGCATGGGGGAGGTAACACCAATTTCTAAAAAGCGGATAAATATTAAACAGATCATCGACGGAAGTGTGCAGGGGATTGGCACTTTGATTCCGGGCAGAGCACCGCACTGGTACTACACTGATCTTAGGTGCATGTATTGATTCCTTCTTAAATAATCCCGTTATTTTAATTATTTACAAGCATAATGTTGATTATTTTTTAAATTCACTCTTACCAATGCGTTTTGGTTATACTCTTTTCGTTTCATTTGGTGGAGGGGGGGTTGCTCTTTTGCCTTCTCTCTAATCCACAAATGATATTTTCTTTCTTATCTATTAACGCCCTTCTCCTTTAATCCTTACGTTTTACTAATATAGCAATCACTGACATCAATAGCGAACGACGAAAAGATTAAGCACAGTCATTGTCTTGTTGTTGTGCAACTTGATGGCGATTAACCTCAAACCGGTTTGTACTGACCTATTGGTCAGGACGTGATTTTAACGCCGCCAGCTGAGCCGAAGACAACAGCGGCCACAACAAGATTTCCATAGATTATCCCCACCATTACAACAGCAATAATATCGCTCACAAGATTAAATGTTCGCCATTGTCTTTTCAGGTAAACGCAGCAGAATAATCCCCATCAAACCTGTTCTGTTCAATATCATTTTCATTACGATTGATAACTTAATTAGTTTTTCTCTTCAAAATATCGGGAGGCGTTATGATTAAATAGGAAAGGCACATCTTTATAATTAAACTTATAATTACAATATTCTGTCAGTGTTATTTTCATTAATTCCTGATCACTGACAAATTTTTCTTCCTGATTTTCAATACATTTCTGTAATGAAAATATTAGCAAGGAATTTATAACATGCAAATACGAGTAAGAGCCATGCCACTCAAAAACGCTCACGTTAATTCTTGATCGTTCATAATATCATAAATATGAAAAGCTGATACTTGACTGTATATACCAGGATCAAATGCAGTCGACACTAAAAGTATGATGATAGATAGATAGATAGATAGATAGATAGATAGATAGATAGATAGATAGATGCTGAGCTTGAACAACCGGTCGATATATATAGGGTTTTTCATTAAGACGGATGAAAGTCAACAGTAAATAAATCAGTGTTATTGGTGAAAATTTATTTATTTATTTAAGTCATGGCAATGATGTGTGAAAAATAATATCGCCAAAATGTCCACCAAGGTTTCGGCGGCACATCTCCACTCGATGGACAAAATGTTTGATGACGTCTCTGCATAGTTGCTCCTCGATCTCACCATTATGCCTTATTATCTTATCCTTCAGCTGTTGAATTGTTTTTGGCTTGTTGGCATAGACCTTACTTTTGAGATGACCCCAAAGGAAGAAATCTAAAGGCGTCAAGTCGCACGATCATGGTGGCAAACTGACTTCGCTGTTTCGAGAGATGATGCGACCTGGGAATTTCTCATTGCATTTCTGTTTGAAGATCCATTTTCGTAATAGGCTTCGATAACTTTAACACGGTGTTTGATTGTTAATCTTTCCATGGCTGAAATTGCCAAAGACTTAAGTTGTTAAATCTAAAAGAAAAAGAAAAAAATCATTGGACGCTTAAACTTAATCCAGATTTAAAATCGGTCCAAATTATTGGAACACCCTTTATAAGTGGGTGCTAAAATGTTCTCGGATTTATCTACTTCTTCTTCTTCTTCTTCTTTTATGTGCCGTGTCCCTTCAGGACGTAGGTGATCATGGCTCTCCACTCGCTCCTGTCCCTTGTAGTTCTCAATATGTTTTGTCCTTTCGCTGCTTTTCCCAAACCATATTCTGTTATCCACTTGCTTATTCCCTCTAAGTATGTCACGCGTTGTTTTCCCTTGTCTCTTTTTCTCTCTATCCATCCTGTGAATATCAGATTCTCCAAGCGTTACTTTCTCATTACCCACATCCCACATCCAAAAATCTGATCAAAGATCGGAGGGGGAGGTGTCCATTTTTTAATGGAGGTGGGATAGGTCTTATTGCTCTACACGGACTTTTCAGCGTCCATTCGCTTAACTATAAATCACATCGAAACTATTTTGCCGAGCATTGGGGGGGGGTAAATATTTCATATAAAGGCGTTTGAATATTATTAAATACCCACCTTAACCTTTCGATCTGACCCAAATTATGATATCCTTCATATAATTCTATGATCAATTTTAGATTTGATCGATTGATTTGTTTTTTTACAGTTTATCAACCTTTTACTGGTTATTTAAAGCCAGAAAACATTTTTAGAATGTAAGAATCTTTGGAAATAATAAGGATTTAGTGAAACAAGTCCCACTATTCAACCCATAGCTAGGGGGAAGGGAGAAGATGTGACGTCATACCTTCCCCAAGGGTATTTACATGTAACTAAATTTGAACCCGACTGGAATTGAAACCCGGCCCTCCGATTTATAATTCCGAAATGTTATGCATTACACGAATCTCACATTCAAACTTACAGCACCTGGTACTCCCAAGCGGTCACCCATCTAGGTACTGATCAGGTTCGACGTTGCTTAACATCGGTACGAGAACCAATGTTTCAATGTGTTATGACCGTAAGCTGTATAATCTGCATATAATACCAGTGGTTAATGAAAAATTCTTCGCTTTACACACATTCAAATATCTGATCAAAGCTCATGGTGTTTTTTGGGGTGAGTGCGAGGGTGTTGGACCAGACAAAACTTTTCAGCGTCCCCTCGCTTAACTATTAGTCGAAGCATTTTGCAGAACGTGGGCATATAAATATTACATACAGAGGTGTTTTAATATTATTAAACACTCACCTTAACCTCTTGACTTGCACTAAATTATGATGTAAAACATAATGCTATGAGCTGTTTTAGATTTGACTAATTGAGTGATTTTGTTTTTTTACGGATTATCAACCCTTTCCAGACTATTTAATACCAGAAATCATTTTTAGATTGTAAGATTGTTTTGCAGATAATAATGGCTTAGTGAAACAAGTCCTACTATTTAACCTATAGGAAGAGGTGAAGATGTGGTTTCATGACTTTTTTCCTAAAGGTATTTGCACCTAAGTGAATATAATGAACCCGACTGAAATTGGAACTCGGCTCTCCGATTTCCACTTCAGAGTCGTTATCGTTTACACCACCCGCACACCGAAGCTTACAGAACCTGATATTCCCGAACGGTTACCTATCTAAGTAATGACCAGGCTCGATGTTGCTTAACTTCGGTAATCGGACGGCGACTGGTGTTTTAACGTGATATTGCCATAAGTCTGAGCGGTTTTAGAAGGATAGTTTTATCGCTATATAACATATAGTATCTTTTTATGTCAAGCAAACTGTATGGATTGGACTAATTGAAAGCCTGTTAATCAGTAAAGGATCATGCGTCATAAAAATCTCAATAAAAATGACTATAATAAAATGAATGCATATTTTACTTCAAGCATAAAGGCACAAAATTGTCCCTTTGGCATTTGGCTTTATCATAATCCGATTAAGGCTTTGAATAAGTAATAAACTACCAGATCTTCAATTAATTTCTCCTACAATATTGTGAAGTCTACTATTCAGTAGGATTTTTTTGAAATCAATGTCACCTAAGGCAGTAGAGCCGCTAACACGCAAGGGGTTACAGGGTGTGGAGGAATTAGGAACAGAGACATTAGTAATGAATAGAAAGCGAAAAGAGCAATCAGGAGGACAGTAGATAGCGTTTGACATTGCATTTAAATTTTTGCAGATTAAAGTTGGATGGAAAATATGGGGGCGGGACGGAGTTCCACAAGCGAGAAGTGCGAGAAAATAAACTGTTAGCATAGAAGTTACGGCTACATCTAGCCAGCTCAACTGTAAATTGATGAAATCTTGCCGCCAGTCTAGTATTGCGCTTAAATTCATAGTCTAGGTGAAATAGGAGGTAAGGTGGAGTAATGAATAGTGGCTCGGATTGAAGAATCGGAGAGCCGAGTTCGAATTCCAGTCGAATCCATTACATTCACTTACGTGCTAATACCCTTGGGAAAGATATGAATCCTCGCAGACCGGGTTCTATAGCCTTGGATGGCAACTGGTCTACCGCAGAAAGAAATGGCAAAAATCTGCCTAGTCAGTCATAATAGCCTAAGCGTGTATCACGCATCGCTGATATTGGTATCACATAGGTATCGTAACGAAGAGCTCATCTGAACAATTACCATGAAAGTATTTATAAAAAAAGACACAGAAATGCAACCTTGCGGAAGCCAAGCCGATAATAATGATGATTCTTCTTTGGATCTTAGCTCCAGGTAAATAGCAGGGGCACCGGACCATATATGGCAGCAATACTCTAAGCATGGACGAATGGTAGATATGCAAGATATATTCAGGTAAGAAAAATTGTCTCGAATATTTGGTGGATTTTTTTATACTTAACAAGCCATGCTTTCTCCCACTTAACAACAGATTGTAGATATTTTTTTAGACCAGCTTCCACTTTGACCTTATCGATCATACTTACTATTAAAACAGGATAATATGGATAATGGCCCACAATTTTTAACCGGAGAGCCGAGTTCCAATTCCAGTTGAGTTCGTTATATTCACTTACGCGCAAATACCCTCGAGAAAGGTATGAATCCACATTTTCTCTCCCCAGCTATGGATTAATTAGTAAGAGTTATATCACTATATCATTATTATCTCCAAAAATTCTTAAAATATACAAATATTTTCTGGCTTTAAATAACCTGCAAAGGGGTGGATAAGCCGTAGAAAACGAATCAAACAATCTTTTTTCTGATTCTAAACGCAATTTTCCTTTTCGTTCCAATTTTCCCTAAAGCTTCTTCGTTGTTACGTCCATGATATTCTCAATATCCTTCTGTAGAACAATATTTCTGTTGCCTCAAGTTTTCTCCACATCTCTGGTGATATTGCCCATCATTCACTGTGATATAGAAGGATGTATATCACATACTTATTCAGCATTCTTTACTTCTCTTCTAACAAAAGTTTTCTTGTCTCTGAATATTTTAGCAAACTAACAAAACTATAAACCGGTTGTAATAATATCCGGATAATTTTCAACCGAGCAGAAATTCTAATTTACGTCAAAGTATTTAAAAAAAAACAAAAAAAACACTTTGAATATTTTGCTTTGTCACGGATGTATAAAGCGGATATTGATACTCTCATGGCTGAAATGAAGTGAGCTGTAAACTTGATACAAGTCAAACAAACATAGAAAAACAAATAGACAACAGTGATGTTAGAAAATTTCCTAAAACATTTTTAACATTGCATGAAATAATAAACACTCCCTCAAATATATTTCTTTCGAATTTTCAATTCATATAATCTCGTTGTTGGTGATTTTCAGCATTTTTCCTAGTGCCCAAAGTATTACTGGCACTACTGTAAACATAATTTTTCTAGAAGTTCTCATTTCTCCGTCAAAGTTCGGTGATTTTCTAATTTTTCTAATTCTTTAACCTTCGGCCTGTCGTCCGCTGTCACGACAACACCTACGATCTGGCGGGTCGACATTTTTTTTTTTTGTTTACAACTACCAAATCCTGTCTCTTCGCTAGAGTAGGATGATCAGTGTAAAGCCCGTGAGTATTTCATTTATTTCTTTTCATTTTAGGACAATTCTGGTATATACAGATTCTACAATGGGAAATATCCATTCTATCAATGTGTTTTACCTATCTATCCCAAGAAAAGAGAGACAAAAATAAAAGTAGACGACAGGAAACTCTCGGCATGACAGCAAACAATACCAAAGAATGGTACAGAAGAGAGAATGTTAAACACGGATATTAGAAACAAGTACAGGCAGGCAAAAGAAGAATGTAGTGCAGCGATAGAAAGAGTTAGTATCATAGATAAGACAGGTATGCATAAATGAATTAGAGAAATAACAACACAAATATCTGCTCCTCAACAGGATGCATAAAATCAAGAGAGAACGATCATTAGATAGATAGATAGATAGATAGATAGATAGATAGATAGATAGATAGATAGGTACGAACAGACTGAGATAGATAGATAGATAGATAGATAGATAGATAGATAGATAGATACGAACAGACTGAGATAGATAGATAGATAGATAGATAGATAGATAGATAGATAGATAACCTTAGATAGATAGATAGATAGATAGATAGATAGATAGATAGATAGATAGATGAATACGAACAGACTGAGATAGATAGATAGATGGATAGATAGATAGATAGATAGATAACCTTAGATAGATAGATGGATAGATAGATAGATAGATAGATAGATAGATGGATAGATGGTGAACAGACTGAGATAGATAGATAGATAGATAGATAGATAGATAGATAGATAGATACGAACAGACTGGAGATAGATAGATAGATAGATAGATAGATAGATAGATAGATAACCTTGGATAGATAGATGGATGGATAGATAGATAGATACGAACAGACTAGATAGATAGATAGATGGATGGATAGATACATGAACAGACTGAGATAGATAGATAGATAGATAGATAGATGGATAGATAGATAGATGGATAGATAGATAGATAGATAGATGGACTGGGATAGATGGATAGATAGATGGATGGATAGATAGATATGGATAGATAGATAGATGGATGGATGGATAGATGGATGGATAGATAGATGGACGAACAGACTGAGATAGATGGATAGATAGATAGATAGATAGATAGATAGATAGATAGAGAACAGACTGAGATAGATAGATAGATAGATAGATAGATAGATAGATACGAACAGACTGAGATAGATAGATAGATAGATAGATAGATAGATAGATAGATAACCTTAGATAGATAGATAGATAGATAGATAGATAGATAGATAGATAGATAACCTTAGATAGATAGATAGATAACCTTAGATAGATAGATAGATAGATAGATAGATAGATAGATAGATAGATAGATAGATGTGGATAATTTGGAATCTGAAGTATCATCAAATTTCAAAAAAACATAGATAAAAAGAAATGGAAATTAAACAAATCTGAGGCGAATGATTCGAAAGAAGCCGGATATAAAAGCCCGCCATTATTAATAAAAATAAACTAGGCCGTCTATAAACATCTAATGCTGTAAAACGAAAAGACGCAATACAGAAAAACGAAGTCCCTTTTGTCAACATCAACGCAAAGGAAGTCAATAACTCGATCGTGGCCAGTTATGGTTCGGAATCATAGCACAATTCGAATGAAACTAGAAACATGAAGAATATACTTCGGATTAAAAGTAAATGATGCCGATAGAAAAAATGGTTAATGAAAAATTATCATACACTATTTACATTATTCGGACTATTGTCCTCATCTTTGTCGCCATATTTATTACAACGTTTCGGCCGTTGTACACTCCGGCCCACCGAGGAGTATCAATGAGAAATGGTAATAAGAGAATGTGAAAGTTATGGAACGGATTAATGCCTTTGACTGTGGAAGCGAACGTCAATAAAGACGAACGCCTCGAAGCGAGAATGCAGAGATCGTTCCAGCCACCGAACGTGAGACACTCCACATGATTATCTTCCGACCAGAACCTCCAACATCAGCCTTGTGTCAAACTTCACTAAATCAGCAAAACAAACTTTACCAACACTATTTACATTATTAAGACTATTGTCCTTTGTCGCCATATCTAATACAACGTTTCGGCCGTTGTACGCTCCGGCCTTCTTCAGGTGGTTGAAATGTAGAACTGAACCCTTTATTTCGCTCACTGGGGTAGACTGTTCTAGTTCCACGTGCCATGTTTAATGGATGTCAATTATCAGTTATCTCCGGTTCATTCCCCTCTCCAAGTTCTCCACCGCCTTAACCAGGTATTGAACTCACACTCTTTGGGTCCTGTCACTGGATCTAACCAATGCCTTTATCCACTGTGTCATGTGTCCTTGAGGACATCTGTGCATGAATCTCTGGGTATTATAAACCTAATGTCTTCAGCAACCATTTTTACCAGTGTTCATATTGTAATTGTTGCTGTTATCATTGCATGTTTTTACCAGAGCTCATATTGCAATTTTTGTTGTTATTATCGCTTTTGTCTGGCACTCCTTATTATTGGTTCCCATATTGTATTCATTTCTATGCTTGGTCGGCTCGGGGAAAAAAATTATCGTTTATTTAACACTGTAAACATTGTCATGTTCGAATGGTAGTTGTAGGAGAGTCGTTTGCTTCGGTTTTAGACTGGCATAATCTCTATCATTTGGCTTTTCAGTCAGCTTTTCCATCATTGA